CCAGAGGGAAAAAATGCCTCAGCTTCAGCAATTTCCCACTTTCAAAAAGCCCACCTAAACAATTGCACTTTAACTCAAATGTATTTCCGTCTAATCTTTCTCTAAAACAAGTGTTAATGAGAAAATCTGTGAAATACTGCATGCAGCATAAAAGTATTCATGTCTAGTTTAAAGGTAGTTTTCTGTTTCTGTGTGTGCAGTTATCTATGTCTCTGTTCCTGCTGTCATACTTAGCTTGTTTGAAAGCTCTGAAGGCGTTTTGAATGTACCGAACACCTTCACAATCACTTAATGAAAGCGCTCTCATTTATCCGTCTCCTTTTTCAGTTCTCTGCAGCTGCCAGCAGCATGGAAAAGCTGCACAACAGATTCCTCTCACGCCATGTTTCATATTCCTTGTCATAACTTAAATAACAACGCTAAAGCAGGTTCTGGCTCTGTTCAGTCAGGCCTGAATCTCCCCATCAGCCTGACTTTATTCCTGTTTCCTCTAGGTATTGGAAAAATCCCCTGTTTCCTCTGCTAAACGGATTAGATGACTGAATTAAAATAATTAGAAAATTGGAAGTGCACAGTTTATTCAAATGTTCGTGAGTGCTGCAGTGGTGACATAACTGTCCCCCCTAAACCTGGCACTGCGAAACAGCAGCGTGCATCCAAGCCTATACAGAGGGAAGAGGTAGAAACAGCACCAGCAGCAGCAGACTAACTCAATTTTTATACAGCAGCAACCGAGATCTCCTCCCTGTCATCCTTCATTGATTTTGCAATCCAGCGGCATCCAAGCAGAACCATACAAGCCATACACCTCAGTCTGCCGCTGATAGCCAATCTCTATTACCCACCTAGCCCAAGGCTTCGGTTCGAGGGGCTAACCCTCTCAGGGGAAGCAGACAGAGGGAGAGAGCTCCGACTGGCGGATTGGAGCGATGATGGATTTATGAGCTGCTTGGAGAAAGGATCATCTTCTCTCCCCCACTTTTATTATCCCATCAGATCTGACGTGATAGCAATAATACACGACGGCCTGTCACATTTTGCAGATCTGGCAGAGAATAAGAATGATGATTTCAAATGCTTGCGTCTAATCAGCCGCGAAATTGCTTCAGTAAATATGTTCAACTACCAGCGCTCTGTCTTCCTCCTGTCTCTCACTTTGAATGAAACTTAGAGTAATAGGCTTGTAGTTGTCACAATGTTTAAGACCCGTGTTGGCTTCACGGTTCATAATTAGTCTTTAATGCACAGAGTCGGCTTGAGGGGAGGAAACTGACGGAAATGTGGAATGAAAGGGGGCCTGCTGTGTGGCCATAGTAATTCAGGCTTTTGTTCTCTAATTAAATGACCTCAGAAGGGAGCGCTGAGCTTAAGTTTGTGTGTGTGGCGCCCTCTGATATGGAGGTTTGTGCCAAGTGTATTCAGTCTCGCAATGAATAGGGCGTCTACTACAAAGCCTAAGAAGCCCTCTCCGTGCCCGCTTCGCCTCCTTGTTGGTTGTTGGAAATTTGCCACAAAACACCATGTCTTTTAACAAGTGGTTTCTGGGTCCCCTCGCATAGTTCAGGACGTTGTAGTTAGGGACACAGTAGCCCCCGGTCTTTTCTCCCTCTCCCTCACCTCCTCTGAAAAAAGACTGGCAGCCTTCCTTGCAGTCTTGAGCTACACAAAAGCTTACATTTGTGTGTTTATGCCATTGCTAAGCAAAAAGGGGAAAGCTTAAATGATGATGTATGTTCTCCTGTTGGACCTTATTACGATGTCCGCAGTTCAAAATATGGACAAGAACTCAGATAGTCTGTAGCAACAGAGGTTAAAGTATCAAGTCACTCAATTAAAACATATTTTCACTTACCTCTAATGGTATCCAGCTATGTAACTGTTGTCTTATTGGTCCATCTTACCTGAGTCTTCTGCCAGCACAGTGAAGGTGTATGAAATTGAATTTGTGGTGCTGACAGCATTAACACAAAACACTTGAAATGCTCTACAGCAAGATTTCTTTCAGAAACAATGTCCCTGTTACTCTGGATAATCCACAGACCTTGCTGTCAACAGTTTTCATTGTAAGCATTTCTTCAAGTGAAAGTAGTTCCAGTGAAAACTGTTGACAGTGAGGTCTGTGGATTATCCAGAGTTACAATGACCGTGTCTCTGGAAAAAAAGAAAAACACATTGCTGTTGTTTTTTTTTGGTTTTTTTTATAATGTGTTGCTCACAGCAGTGAAAGTGACAAACAAAATTTAATTCACCCCCGTTGTACTCTGGGAGAGGAATCTTAGAAAGATATTTTAAAACCTCAGCAAACCACTAGAGGTAAGCAAGAAATACATGTTTTTTTCACCATTTAAAACCTGTGAAAATTCTCATTAGATATTAAATATTCATTCATTTTAGGGGCTAGTGAAACAGGCTCTACATACATATCATCACATTTTCAGTGGATATGGCTAAGATGGCTGCTAGAAACAACAGTGATGAGAGCCATTAGAGTGATCAAAAACATTAAAGGCTAGAAAACCAAAGCTGTGAGCTGACACTAAAAAGGGCCATAGAGCTGAAGGTAACTGCAGAGTCGGGGTAAATTTTCTGTTTTTTTTTTTTTTACATTACACATACTCATTTGACCATGATTGATATAACGTAAAAATATTGATTTAGAGCAGCTTTAAGATAAATGAGGAAGAAGACTACTCATTTGCTTCATCGTGACTAAGTGGGAGTGGTTTAATCATATTTGATTGACAGGGATATGTCAACATTAACAACTCAACTCAATTCTGATCAGTGCACAAAGGTACATGACATCATATTTTTCCTTTTAGCACATATAAAAACACAAATACAGAAATCTTACACGTGAAATAAACACAACTGTTCTAACTTTGAAGAAAGAAAGACAATTTTGTGTTCCTATAAGACCTCATTGCTCATAGAGAGAAGGCCTTTCAGTGGACTGCAGTAGACTCTCTTCTTTCTTCAGACACCTGGTACTGTGTATCAGACTAAAAAGGCTCCTAATATTTATGACTTGCATTGTCACGGGTTGCACTCTGACTCGAATGTCACCATTTCTCTCCGTCTCTGTACACCATCACAAAAATAATCCTAAAAAGACATTTGAGCCCAAGCTATAAATTTCCAACATAGCAACTGTTATTGCTGTTGTTGTTGGCTAATGCATGCTTTGGATGGGCGCGTGAATGAATGTCTCCATTACAGTTGTTCTGCATGCTGACAGCCTTCAGCCATTACAACCACCTGGCACGTCTCCACTCCATCAGCCCGGAGCACCAGTTGCGAGCGTGCGGAAGCGGCACGGCTCCGTACGTAACCAGATCCAGCTTTGATGAGTGGAACATTAACAGCTGCTCAGGAGGGTGTAAGAGAGGGGGCAGTGAGAGTATTTGTGTGTGTTTGTGTGCCCACGTGTGTTCACACAGATGAAGGAGAGGGCGGCGGAATCACAGATGACATCTTAATTGGCCTCCGGTGCCAGATGCCAGGCTCTAAAGCCGGCCAGGCCAGTCCGTGCTGTAACAGTGTCTCAGCAGCCAGGCAGGGCTTTAGGCAGGGCTTTAGGAGCCCGCTGGCTCCACTGTGTGCTCCCACGGGTATTAGGTGCTCCAGTGTTGTGCTGCCACCCCTCCACACACACACACACACACACACACACACACACACACACACACACACACACACACACACACACACACACACACACACACACACACACACACACACACACACACACACAAACACCCTTCTTCTTCTCGCTCCATCCTTCCTGCAGAGCACTCTGAGGCATTGTCAACACCAGTCTATCTGAGGTGAATTCAGACGAAGAAAAGCCAGAGGGCAACAAAGGCCCGGGCGTCTTTGTGTTGAATCCATTCACACTGAGGCACCAGGGTCGGGCTTTTCTGCAGCTTCATGCAGTGTTTGGATTGAGATACCCCCCTTCCCAACCTCTGCCCTCCTCATTTATAGCGTATTGATGTCCCGTAAACGTCCAGTTAGCTATCACATAACTGTAGCTTTACGGTCTAACAACCAACCTCTAACCCTTTGCCTGTCACCTCTTGCTCTTCACCTTTTCACCCTTGTTACATGATGCTTTTCTCAGATGAAGAAAAAACTATGTTGGATTAATCATTTCACATTATCTAGGGTCTGTCTGAAGCACGCAAAGATGTACATGGCCATATGACAGTTCATTTATTTGATCTAAAACGGGAGCACACAGACACTTCACTCTGCGTTTAAATCAGTGAAAGTAAAGGTAGAGGACTGATATTAAAGTTGAATCTGATTAGCGAACAAGAGAGGTGGTACCATAGCGTGAAATAGGCTGCTCACAAAATGATTAACTAATATTCCTGTTTGACATTATTCTTGATCCTTGGTGTGAAGCCGGAAAGGAGTTTCCGCTATCTGCTCTCCAAAAGACATTTCAAATGAAATGGAAATCCATTTTTAATGAAGTTATGGTTAAGTCTCTCACACACACCTCTGACAAGGATGGAATCATAGTTTAAGGGGTATTTCATGTTAACTGGCTCAGCTTTAAATTTAAGTCTAAATTTGTAGATGTCAAATAAGCTATAGCTCTATAAGTTAGACATGTTAATCATTGACCATTATACAAGCAAAGATCTAAGGATGTGGGAGTTGGCCATGGTAGTATTTTTACTTGGAAAACCAATGTGACACCAAAGAGTTTAACTTGTTTTTTTCCTTCCCTGCTGCCTGTCTATGCAATATTTATAGGTGTGTAATACTTTCATACTTTCTGTTTTATAGAGGAGTTTTCTATTCACATATTCTCCACAGAGAGGGCAGAGGTCAGGTTCAGCTCCAGAGCAGCACTCCTGGAGCTGCTTGCAGTTGTATAATGAGTAACTCGCTGAAGGACATTTTCACTTCAGTATACCAAAAACTAAAAATCCTTACCTGTATGTCCTCACTCACCTGTATGTAACTTCTGTTGTGCCCCCCCCCAGAACGAGCCATCGCCAGACACGAGGTACGAGAGATCGAGCAGCGGCACACGCAGGACGGTCTGCGGGAACGGGAATCATCGGTCTCGTTGCCGTCCAACAACGATGATGACATTGTCATCATCTACAACCGCGTGCCCAAGACGGCCAGCACCTCCTTCACCAACATCGCCTACGATCTGTGCGGGAAGAACCACTACCACGTCCTGCACATCAACACCACCAAGAACAATCCGGTCATGTCCATACAGGACCAGGTCAGAGCTGCCTCCAAGTTTAACATGAATTCCTCCTTTTATTTATAATTGGCCTGTTTGCAGACGCCTGGTTTCTTGTTATTGACTCTTTGGTTAACTGTGTACTAAAAACAGCATTTCATCCATTATAATGATGATGATAAATATTTGTTTCAGGTGCGGTTTGTAAAGAATGTGACTGAGTGGAGGGAAATGAAGCCAGCTTTCTACCACGGACACGTCTCCTTCCTGGACTTCACCAAGTAAATATGTCGTCTTGCAATTGTCTTATAATGACAACACCGCTTATTCACAGTTATTCACCCTGCTGTGGCTTTGTGCAGGTGACTCCACCTTGTGGTCATCTACCGCTTTTCACTTTTTTTCACACTGTGCAGCGCAGTGATGTGAATGTAGCACAAAGTAACATTGCTGATGCTCACAAAAAGCACATTATTGAGCTCCTAAATGTGTAAACTGTGTGTATCTTTAAATTTAATCTTGGATTCAAAATCCTGTTGAATACTTCGATCCAATGACTGTCGTGTCTGTCAGGTTTGGGGTGAAGAGAAAGCCCATCTACATAAACGTGATCCGGGACCCCATTGAAAGGCTGGTGTCCTATTATTACTTTTTGCGTTTCGGGGACGACTACCGGCCCGGCTTGAGACGCAGGAAACAAGGAGACAAAAAGGTTAAAACTCATTCTTTTGTTTAAAGGATACGGGCACAACTTTTCAGGTCTGTCTTAACACAAAAGTCAGGTGCTCATATGAACATCACTCAATGAACAATCACTCCTCCTGTTCATACAGACCCTTAAAATATCCCCTCTCAATGCACTTAAAATGGAAGTGAAGGGGAGACAAGATCTACAGTCCTTGTTCTGTGCAAAAATATATTCAAAAGTATACCTGAAGGTAGTACAAGGCTTGGCCAAACAAGAATATGTCCTAAAAGTTACAGCACTTTTGGTCAGTGTTTCTTGATGAGCTGTAGTGGAGAAATAGCAACGCAAAAGAATCTTGCTAAAACATTGTATTCTCTCTATTCGACTAACTCAGTCTCATAGTAGCTTCAGATAAACTTTGGAATACATTGTTGCATGAAACAATGACTAGGTTTTGTGCCTGGTCGCTTATAGTAGAGGCACATAAAGATGAACAGGAGGTATGAGAACAGAAAGCAAAACCCATTGTAATGTGCATATAAAGGCACCTGACTATTTTTGTCAGACAGACTTCAATCTTTAAACTTTAACCAATTTGACAAGTACATTTGTTTTGTTCACAAATGCTCATGCCATGTGTTTCAGACGTTTGATGAATGTGTATCAGCTGGCGGCTCAGACTGTGCCCCTGAGAAGCTCTGGCTCCAGATTCCCTTTTTCTGTGGTCACTACTCTGAATGCTGGTAAGTATTCAAACCCCTGATGCTGTACCCAGTTCAGACAGCACTGAGTAATCTTTAGGTTCTCTTGTACAGGAAGAAAGCTTGATTAAGCTCATCTTTAGTTATGTTTTCACTTTTCTAACTGTTAAGGCTGGTGATAATCTAGAGCTTTCTTATCGTCAACAAAGGATCCCATGAAAAGACCAAAATCAACAACGAATTGATCCTGCTAATAAGTGTTGTGTGTGTAGCAATTTAGTGACATCTTCCTTCATTACAATGAACACGGATGCTGCATTAAATACTCCCTAGTGCACTAAATGTGTATTAATCCACAGCTGAAAATAGCCCACCAACAAATGCACACATTTACTTCTGTTTTAGTAACATTTACTAAAAGCTACTGTGCCCAGTTGAGTTTTTAAGGTTAACATCTTATGGTTGATTGGTTGAGGGGATTAGTACCAAGTATTGAGAGACAGAATAACTGATTGTTGGTTTTGATCTTATCAATATTATTGTTTCCTCGTCCTCAGACAGTTCAGGAGAGATGCTGTATCAGTGTTGTTTCATAATGTACCACTCTGTAGTCCTTTTCTGTAGTTTCTGCTACACTGATCTTCTCAAGGTCTCTGATAGCTCTCTCAGCCTTGATCCGTTCTTACTAGATGATGATCTGTATCAATCTTTTCTTCTGCCCTCACTCATCCCTCTTACCCGGCTCAGTCTCTCCTCCTCTCTGCCCTCCATCTTTTTACCGTCTACCCTTCTGATGCAGGTTATTGACTAAAGGTCTGAGTTTATAGGATTTACTTCACTAGCAGTATATTAAAGTAGTGGAAAGCACCTTGGAAACCTTAAATAAATACTGAAGATAAAAGGTGAAGGTGCTGCCAGTCCTCTAATGCTGTGTTTAACAAGGCTTTGCCAGAAACTTACTTTATAGGTTTAAACAATCTACTTCCTCCTTTATTATCTAATATCCTGACTATGACAACACCTGCCACTGACTTCATTTTTTTCCATTCCTTCCTGTCCTTTCTCCTCCATCCTCTGGTCCTCTTGTTGTTTCAACCCACTCTGGACTCTGTTCACATCTCACTTAATCATTTTTCCTGTCACTTTCTTTGTCCGTTCCAGCTCTCCTCTGCTGCTCCTCTGTCACTCTCTTCCTCCCCTCCCCCATTTCTTCTCTTTGCAACGATGCGATCATTTTACATCCAGTAAAAACCGACCACACTTACACTAACCACATACAATGAACGTGATCTCTGCACAGGAACGTGGGCAGCCAGTGGGCTCTGGAGCAGGCCAAATACAACCTGGTGAATGAATACATGCTGGTCGGAGTAACAGAAGAGCTGGAGGACTTCGTCATGATGCTGGAGGCCGCGTTGCCACGCTTCTTCAAAGGAGCCACCGAGCTGTACAAAACAGGTGCCATTTGCTGCTGCCTTTGTTTCCCTCATCAATATTATAATATTCTGAAAAGCAGCTTAATGGCTCACTCACATTGCAAAGCTAAAGTGTGTGTGTGTCTGTGCTGTGGTTGCATATTAGTCATTTGAATTGCTCCTCTGAGAATTGAATTGTGATCAATATGCACTCTTGCCTCTCACTGATGTAGTTACAGATTAGTTACAATGAGTGCAGCCAGAATGAATAATGGGGAGTACAGAAGAATGAAATGTGACAGTGATGTAGATGAAAGTATGCTGTTCATCATTTTTAGCAGCAGATAAACCCAAGTACTCAAGTTAATCAGGTATATATTTAATGAATTTGAAGACTGAGCCTCTGTTTCAGAAGCCACGCAGTCTCGGTTATCACGTTTTTGCTGACTGGCAATCTCACTAGAAGCTTTAAGAGATCTGTTTGCCTTTCATTTAGCAAAATTAAAGATAGGCCTAAAGAGAAATGTAGAATACATTGGACAGGATGGAAGCGCTGCCATATTTCCACAATAATTATTTCAGACAGTTACTTTCTTGTCTGTATGGTAAATATGAAGCTACAGCAGCTGTGGCTTGGCTTAACTTAACTTAGCATAAAGGCTGTAAACAGGGAAACAGCTAACCCGGCTCTGTCCAAAGGGAACAACATCAGCCCCCTTTTAAAGATAATTAATTAACACGTTACATCTTGTTTGATTATTTGGTTTTGGATGGGGTTATGTGTTGAGACTCTTTCTTGGCTGCGGTAACATCCTCGTGTCTCCACTGGTTGCCTGGTAACCTCAGGGTGATGACAAGACCCCAAGAAGTTTACTGCGCCTGACCAAGAAATAGTCTTGCAAATAACTTGAGTTCAGTTTCAGTTCAGTTTTTATACTAAGCTAAGCTAATCGGCCATAGCTTTATATTTATCCTATAGATATGAGAGTGGTATTGATCGTTTCATCTAACTCTTAAATAAGCAAATTTCCCCCAAAAAACAAACTATTGCATTAAGGATATAATATTTACAGCAAGATAATTTGCCTAATTAAGCCTGAAACACTGCCTATATGAATATAATGTCAGTCCTGATTAAAGTTGATTAGAGCAGGGAAGACTTTGCATTGCATGTCAGAACAATGATAGGTTATTGTAGTTAATGTCAAGAAAACCTGATAATTTAAAGATAAATAAAGGTTTTCATTTTGTGAAGAGTTTAGTTGTGACATGTGGAAAGAAATTAGTTTTAAGTTTTCTATAAATGGTGCCACTGAATCTTTGAAATGCAGTAACAGAAAAGGAACTATTACAATAAAAATAAAATCATAGTAATGCCTACATTAACATTAAACAAGATGACGTGTATATAAAAACTTAATCACTGACACTGTGTATCTGGATCCCTTTAATCCTGCTCTTCTCTCATCACAGGGAAGAAATCCCACCTGAGGAAGACCAGTGAGAAAAAGCCGCCCACAAAGGAGTCTATCGCCAAGCTGCAGCAGTCGGCCATCTGGAAGATGGAGAATGAGTTCTATGAGTTTGCACTGGAGCAGTTCCAGTTTGTCAGGGCACATGCTGTCAGAGAAAAGGATGGGGAACTCTACCTGCTGGCACAGAACTTCTTCTACGAGAAAATCTACCCCAAAAACTAAAGCGACACGTGTCCGTAGAAGAGTGTGGAGAGGACACTCGGTAGGGGGCTCAGATGTGCAGCCTATGATGAAAAAAAAGAAGAAAAGTGAGACTAATAGACTACTGGTGACTGTGTGGTTGGTTTGTACGTGTGATTGAGAACATAATGTGGAGCTGCAGAATAATAAGACTGGTGACAGCTCTGTTATTCACATCAACGCCAGCCAACTGGACGAGGAGCTCACTTTTCGTCAGCAGATTGTGTTCCTAGCAGCCCCACCCCCCTTCCAGGCCTCCACTCCCTTTCACTTCCATTTCAAAGGTCGTCTGCGCCGAGGGCCTCCACCGACACATGTCCGGAGACAGCCTGTCCAACAGCTGGTCAGAGCTCGTCTCCTGATTGGTTTCGCTGTTCTCCAATCCAGACAAAACATTTTCATTGGCTCTGTACTGTTTGGTTGTGTTTGATTGTATTTTAACTCTTTACTATGGTTGTCTTTTTGTATGTAAGACGGTGACATTTTCCATGGTGAAACAACATGCCCATGCCTCACCACTACTACTAACTTAAAGAGATTTTAAGTGTAAGAAACTGACTACTGTGCTGTATTATTGGACTTGAATGAGAACTTTTGAGGTTTTTATGAAATAAAAATCCTGTGACCATGGACTATTTACTCGGCCAAGTGCGTACGTTTTATACTGTACTTGATATGTTTTGTTGGAAGACTCGTAGATGTGCAGCTTTGCCCGGGGGCTTTTCCTCGGTTATGAAGGAAGCATTTTACACATGATATTACTGAAGTGTGTAAGAACATGAAGGTAAAGATGCTGCTGCTGTAAATATTTACTACTTTTTCAGTCAGTTTCATTCACAGACAGATTTGCTACAGTATAAAATCAACCCATTTATACTGTTAACGCCCTTTTAAAGTTGCAGTCTGTATTTTATCATGTTTGTAAATTTCTTTCAACTCTTTCATTTCCCTTTTTAGTCTGAATTTTATTTTTTATCATGTTCTTTTCATTGTATAACCAGTATTGTATTGCCTAAAGGAATATTTGACATTTTGGAAAATATGTTTATTTGCTTTCTTGTCAAGAGTCAGATGAGGAGATTGCTACCGCTCCTATTATCAGTCCCTTAAATATATAGCTTAGCCTTTAGACTGTAAGGGGGGGGGGGTAACCTGTCACTTGTGAAAGTGACAGCTAACCTGTCACTTTCCCCAACCTCACTGTGAACTGTGTGTTGACAGACATGTTAATTAATGACCTGTAGAAGGAGGAGGTTGGGTGAATTGTTACTTTTAGACAGAAGCAGGCTCGCTGTTTCCCCTTGTTTCCAGTCTTTATGCTACGCCAGCCAGCTGCAGCATTATGTTTTATGAACTGATGAAAAAGTAGTATGGATCTTCTCAGCAAGAAAGCTCAAAATGTCAAACTACTTCTTAAAATATCTGCTGTTTTTTTTTTTTTTTTGCAATTGTCCACATAAAATATGGTGGTGAGATTGGTAATAATTTGGTTGTGTAGTTTTCTTCTCTCATTGGCTTTATTGCAGCTTTAATAGCCTTTTACTGGCCAATTAAAGATCTCCTCTCCCCTTCATACATTTCTAACTAACAGTTGGAAAAGTTTAAAGTGACATAATGTTACCCCCTCAACTAATTCACCTCTGTCTTATCAAGAAGTTGTACTAATGTAAAGCAACACATTGCTTCAGCAGGAAGAGCTGCACAGAATGTTTCTACTGGATCACATTTTCTTAAGTATTTAAATCTACATATGAGTACCTACTCATTTTCATCTAGGGACATACTATATTTCACCTCTCAGTTTCTGTGTGCCTTCTTTACACTCAGCTCTCCTTGTTGTGTTGCAGCTTTGTCAGATGGAACATAAAAACAACATGGCTGCCATGACTGTCTTCATCTTTTGATTGCCAAAAAATATCTATACATAACATTTCCAAACACTACCGAAGATCTGTGTGCGTGTGTTCCTTTGTTTAACAAATGTTAGTACATCATCATCAACAGGTACAGCGGGGTAGGGAGTGGTAAAGACAGATAAAGCTGCTACTCTGGAAATGAAAGCTGGATTATTACAGGGCTGGTATCCTGCAGAGGGAGATAAAGAGCTGCCAGGTCTGCTCCTGCCTCTAACGTTGTGTGTGTGTGTGTTTATCCATTTTCACATCCTTTCCAATCCTCCTGGGGCATTTTTCAATATTTGATATTGTGATTGCAGTGAGTTAAATATGCATCTGGCATACAACTCAATTATATTTTTATAATATGTTATGAAAACACAGAAGGCTGTCATATATATTGTGGTACTTGTCATGCAAACCAGAATGTAACATCATTTTCTGTTGCTCTCTTGCTGCTGAAAGAAATGTATTGCGAGCACTAAAATAGGACCGTGGTTACGTGAGACGTGAGAGGAGTCACCAGAGGCCAGACAAAGTTTATATGATCCAGTGTTGCCACTCAGTGTTACTTATCCCTGCTCTCAGATAATCCCTGAACAGTCATCAGCTATCTCCATTAATCTCAGATTGTTCTCTGGTTACTGCTTCCTGGTTTTGGCCCTCTGACCCAGATAAACATGGAGGGTGTCTACGTTGGAGCCTCCGTTACAGGCTGCTTTTTAAAGTTTGACAAGGAGCATTTAACACTAGATTTAGGACTCAGCGTTAAACCCTCTGAGGCCTTTTATGAGGGAGTAACAAGGGGTTGCTGCTACTGAAAACTATATCTAAACACCCAAACTGCACATCTTAACATCTTTAGTTAGCTTTTTAGTCTTTACCAGATTATTTATCCAAAATGTGTTTACCATTGTGTTACATGTGATGAAGTTTCACATGTGATGGTGCTGCTAATTCCCTCTGATCCCTGAGTGTTGGATATCATGAACCAGTAAACCACCAAAGTTGTTGCCCTGCACAACCGACACCTGAGAAGACTTTCAGCCAGTGCAATATTTTACAGTGCATAAAAAACAGTAAAAGACGAGTCAAATTGAACTAATGCACACATTTTTAAAGTGGCCCATCTCTCAGAAACTTGTTTTGCTTTTTGTTATTTTTCTTGGAAGCTCGGCCTTCTCTGTGCAGAATGATGTATGTTTGACACTAGGAGGTGGTTTTCACATTCATCTGCTGAAGGGGGGAAGTTTAACACTTGTACTTTTTTTTTAAATAATTTCTAGTTTGGAAACCAGTCGTGATCCAAAAGATATTTTGTATCTAAAAAACATATCTGGAGGAGATCTTTTAAATAGGCCTATTTCTGTACAGTGCAGTACAGTGGAGAGCTTATCAGAAAGGAGGATGGGAAGAAAGAGGGGTGGCAATATGCAACAGATGGGGCTATACAAAATTCTGTAACCTTTCAGTTATATTTCTACTGTGTTGTTTAGGCCACTACAGTACGAACACCATACACGTCAGCTTTAGGTATTTTTCATCATATTTTACCAAAATATAATATGTGATATGAAAACGTATGTAACTGCATATGTATTAGGAGGATTTTTACAACCTTGTGGAACAATACCTAATACCAGCCTGCACAATAAAAATTTTCAACATCCCATAAATCAGAGGATTATCATGTTTATTATGGGTAATAACACACCCACAGATCAGTATAGTGTTCATTTACCTCTAAAAACCAGAATAACAGCAGGAGGAAGGTGGGACATCAAAGATATGTATGTTACTGATAAAGACAGGTAACATTAGACATTGATTAACCCACTGGTACAGAAACAGAATTACACCATACCATCTCCACTCTTTTCCCTCCCACGCCAAACACATTAAGTGCAGGTTGGGGATATATTGATCTATCACGTCCTGTCTGAAGCACCTGTCTGCAGTCAGCCACTGGAGAAAGCGTCACCGTGGAGACAGAAACAAAGACTGGACCTCTACAGGGAATTTAACAGGAGCACATCAGTCATATGTCTACAAAACAAGGCCTCTGCCATTTTTATTATGTGCACAATGCTCAGTTTATGAATGAGGAACCGGTGTTGTTGTCCACACAAATAAATATCTGTGACACTATGCCATAAGCATAGAGAGTGCCCAGTCTCTGAGACATATGTCTTGTGGCGACTGTGTCCCTGTAGGTTATGTAACGCAGCAGTAAGTCTTCTCACTGAGGCGTGACATGTAATGCACTGGCCCCAGTAGAGAAGAACTCAGTGTTTGTCCTGTGGTTTCTTCATCACAGCTCCTCCTGATGTCTCTGGCTTGGCAATGCAAAAGTAAACTGAGACTCTTATTTAATATACAGTATAGCAGCTTTTTTCTGAAGTATGACCCTTACGGTGTGACATATAGTTGATCAATATTAAATTGTTGATAGTCTTCCTGAGGTGCAGTCTTGAGTCAAGTACAGTTCTGGGGTACTTTATTTGAGTATATATGCCTCTACTCCACATTTCAGAGGGAAATATTATATTTATTACCTCATTACAGCTACCTGACAGTTATCACACATATCATATCAAACATATTATCAACTCATATGATGTGTTGTTGGAGAATAAACTCTCCAGCATTAAGCAGTTGAAGTTATATCCACCTAGACCAACAGGAATTATGCTGCCTACATGTGAATGCAACACAAATAAAAATACAGTATTTATAAATACAAACAGGATAATTACAGTATTTTATGTTTGAGAGATCTAATTCAAGTATATTTTGCCGATAATATGTAATTATACTTTTGGCTTTTTATTATGTTTATTATGTTTTCAAGTTTTTATTATTTTTTATTATTTGTACATAAATGTATACTTTTACATAATGATCTGAGTGCTGCTCCATCACTGCTGGAGCCATTCTGCACGAGTACTTTTTTTTATTATTATATAGTCTTATATTTTCTATTATATTTTCTAATATTCTTATTTTGTGATTATGTACCTATGTACCTTTTGCACTACATTCCCCTATGCTGCTGTGTCTAATTTGAATTTCTATAAATAAAGGAACCTCTTATCTTACTTTAAATTTTGATACTGTACTTAAGAGCAGTACAATTATCAGAACTTCTCATAGAGGTATTTCTGTATTTAGGACCCTCCATCTGTGCTCAAGGATGTCCTCCTTTCTGCACATTTTGACATATTTTTTGGCTCCATTTAAAATCAACCTGACGTGAAATGAATGTTTCCCCATCATGGTGTTTACCCCAGGACGAGATCAGGGCACTAACATGAGGTTCAGACCGGCCTATATGAAGTTTTGTGGATCACGTGTGTGCTAACTGTCCGGGGTGAGAGCAGCAGGAGCAGCAGCAGGAGCAGCAGCAGGAGCAAGCAGCGCTACAGCTCCTCTGGGCGGACTCTTCCACTGTAACCACCGCCTCTTTCTCCAACTGCACTGGGACAGATTTATGCTACAGCTTTCTTATTTATGAGCACCAGTCCACCCCGCAGGACCCCTCTAGGACGGTGTGACCGCGTAAATGAAGCGTGAAGACGGCATGGGAAGCCCCGTGTACCCGAGATGAGCGATGATTTGGTCCAAATAACCACTTCTTTTTGTCGCCAGAGAGGGAAACTTAAAACAAGGCTTGTTTTTGGAGTTCCACCTCCCCTCCTCTCTCCCCGTAGGATTTGATTCAAAGGCGAAAACCAAGATGGCCGCCGATTCCGTGCAGGTAGGAAAAGTTGACAACTGTTGCGAAAAGTGCGCAAACTTACTCCAGAGGTTCAATTATAAGTCAGCAAACAGTTTTATTTCATTAAAGTTGAGTCGCTGTGAGTCGGTAGTGTTGTATTTAAGTGAAGGGGCTTCTGCCAGATCCTGAAGGGTTGTCTGGGAATTATCCATGGATTGAGGCCTGGGAAACAATTATCCAAAGTAATTTATCCTGAAAGTTTCAAACCGGTTGGTTTTGTGCGGGAGCTGCTGTGGTAATCAATGTAACGGCTATTAACGGTTAACGTTTTACCGTTAGTGCTGCTGTAGTCCAGGTTAAATAACGTCAGTTGAACGTTAACGTACAGGTCTGTAGCCTAACGTCAAGTTAACCTGCATTCGCTTTCTGGAAAATAAACAAGTGTCCGCCGTGTGTTGGTTACCGGTAAAGATACATTTTCCGGTTTTAATATGTGTATCCGTGATGGGAATAATGTAAACATTGTTTCTATCTCTTGCAAAGAGGAATCATAAAGGCGTGAAGTTTTTTCAAACACGTTACAGACCGGATGAACTTTGTCACCAGCAAGTCATAAAATGTCTGTTGTAACATGCAAAAGAAGGTTTTTATGTTTAAAAAAAGAAAAGAAAAAGAGTAATATAAGTGAATGTAAGCATTTAACTCATGTCTCGTTATCCTCTATGGACAGTTGTGACTCACTCACTATGTGGTTTCACTTGAGTGACGTCAGACATGAAATCCATTTTTCTGACAGAAATTCACCCAGTCATCCACAACTTCATCTGATCTCGTTTAAAGTGCGGTCAGGAATCACTTTAGCAACATCCTCCACAAACAGTCATCCTGTCAGGTCTAGGGCAAGTGTGAGTACTCCCACACTGTTATTAATATGTACAGGGAGTGCTGGTAGAGAGCAGGAGTTACAGCAGATAACGAGGCTAACAGTTGGGAGACATATTAGATGATTTATTAGATTAAATGTTAATAATTTTATTCCTGGGCCTGGTGCGGACTGAAACTGATCGCTGAGGCAACAGGGGGTGATCATCTGTTGTCATGTCAGTTAGGGCTGCACGATTTGTGATTGCGGTGATCATTTTTGCACCACACGTTTATTTTCTTTACTGATAATACTGTTAAAATCATGTTTTTTGGGGATTTGTGTCAAACAAACTTATTTTCTTACATCTGGGGAATAAGATTTGTAGGCCAGGGCGTCTCTGCATCAC